ATTGCCTTTTCCAGTGCCAAGGTCGATGCCAGATGATCCGTCCAGTTTCACTTCTTTGAGACTTTGTAGTTATTGGTAAAACTGAATGGCTTGCTAGGCCATTTCAGAGGACAGTTGAGAGTCAACCACATTGCTATATGTCTGGAGTCACAAGTAGGTCAGACCAGGTGAGAATGGCAGATTTCCTTCCTTGAGGACATTAGTGAGCCTGACACTTAACAATGGTTTCATGGTCATTAGTAGATTCCATATACTGCACTTTTTAAAAATTGAATTAAAATTCCACCATCTGCCATAGTGAGATTCGAACCCGGGTCCCTTGTACATGTAAATAAAGTGTGACTGAGTGGCAGGATACTGGCCTCTGTGCCAGTGGTGACGAGAATGTGTTGTTGACATGTGGTGTCTCCCTGTATGGTATCGAGGTAGCGTCGGCTCACTGGTCGCTCAACTTAGGGGAACAGCCCATACTGCATACTTCCCAGACTTTGGCTGAAGCTGAACACAAATACACCCAGACAGAGAAGGAAGGTTTGGTGGTCATCTTTGGTGTGAGAAAGTTCCACCAGTGCCTTTACTGATGTATATTTGTCACAGTAGTTGACTACAAACCCCTGCTAAGACTACTTATTGAAGACAAGGTGGTGCCACACATATCTTCTGGTAGAATTCAGCAGTGGGTCCTTATTTTCAGCTCGTTCAAGTTGGAACACCTTCCAAGTGGGAAGTGGGAATAGGCCAAGTGGGAAATGTGGATGCCCTGAGCCAACTCCCACTGGCAGATAGTCCACTGCTGGTGCCTCCTCTGGAACTTTCTGAACACCCTTCCAGTCACCACTGACAAAATCTGAATGTGGACACTAAAAAGATCCCATTTTGTAAAACTAAAACAGCTGGTAATAATGGGGGAAACATTAGAACTGAAGTCTTTCAGGATCTGGCAGATCACTGTAGACGAAAGCATATTACTACAGAGTGATTATCCCGAGTAAAGAACACTGCCAGATACTGGCTGAACTGCACCAGGGTTAACCAAACAGGAGTTTCCAATCTTAGGCTATTGTCAAGAGGTTATGTTTGGTGGCCAAGATTGAATGCCAACATAGCTGCATTTGTTGGGGCAGTGCCCAGCATGCCAACAAGGACAAAAATTAACCATCTGCAGCTCACTCACAATTCATGGGAATGGCCGGGTCAACCCTGGACTCAATTAAGCATCAACTATGCTGGTCCTTTCGCGGGCTCAATATTCCTGCTCATTGCGGATGCCCATTCAAACTGGTTGGGCATACATAGAGTACATTTGGCAAATTTATGGATGATGATTGAAAAGCCGTGTGCATCGTTTATGGTACACAAACTCCCAGAAGTATCGGTCACGGACAATGAATGTCATTTACCAGCAGGGAATTTGAGGGTCAAATGGCGTTCAGTGTGTTTGGACAGCTCCATACCATCACCCAATGATCTGGCAGAAATACCAGTCTAAATGTTGAAGGCTTAAAGAAACAACCTACAGCTTCTGTCGATACTAAACTGTCCCGGTTCCTATTTAATTTTAGGACCACCCCTCATACAACGTACAGGAATAGATCGAGCAGAGTTGCTGATGAGGAGATGACTCCGCACCAGGTTAAACCTGATATTCCCAGACCTGGAGGGGGAGGGAGGGTAAAACAGCAGCAGGAGAACCAATGCCCACCACATGTCTCCTCAAAGTGAGACAGACTCTTTAGTTTAGGGGAGGAAGTTTGGTGCTGCAACCATGGAAATGGCCCGGCATGGATACAAGACGAGGTCTACGTGAGGTCAGGTCCCATGCCGTACAAAGTTCGGGTAGATGAGGCTGTTCTGAACAAACATGTGGATTACCTGAGAGCTGCCACCATGTAAATGAGGCAGGAGCAATACATACCCGCCCCTCAGAAAGGCCGGTCAGAAACTGTGGGTTCTCCCCCTCCGTCTAGAGTCAAGGAAACCTCAGAGTCCAAGATGGATGTAGCCTCAATACTATTACTGCCGGAACGAGAAGAGGATACTGTCCTGAGATGCTCAGCTGCAAGAGACGGGCTACAATCCAGTACACACTGCCCCTGTCAGAGTCTGAGACAGGGAACTGGACCTGGGGGGGAGACGTTGCAGGAGATGCCAGAAGAGAAAGACCAGGTATACATCCCCTGACTTAGAAGGGACGGGATGTAGTGAAGCAGGGTGGGTGGAGCTCATTGATCATGAGATCCTTGATTGGTGTTATTAACCTTGGCCAATCAGGGAGTCCTAGCTGAAAGAGAATCAGAAGGTCCCCTTGGTCTATGGATTGGCTTTGAGCTGGCTGGTCAGAGCCCACGTACTCTGCACATGTAAATAAAGAGTGACTTGGTGACAGGATACTGGCTTCTGTGCAGTTATTTCAGGTTAATCTAACATCCCTATTTAAGAAGGGAGGGAGGCAGAAGACTGGAAATTAAAAAGCTGAAAGAACTGCGGATGCTGTAAGTCAGAAACAAAAACAGAAATTGCTGGAAAAGCTCTGCAGGTCTGGCAGCATCTGTGAAGAGAAATCAAAGTTAATGTTTCAGGTCCGGTGACCCTTCCTCAGGACCCAAGTTTCAGTGGTAACACTATTGAGGCTATATCTTTTTCAGAGAAAGGGTCACTGGACCCGAAATGTTAACTCTGATTTATCTTCTCAGATGCTGCCAGACATGCTGAGTTTTCCAGCAACTTCTGTTTTTGTGACAGGAAATTAAAGGCCAGGTAGCCCGACCTCAGTCATTGGTAAGATTTTGAAGTCAATTATTCAGTATGTGATTGAGATACATGGTAAAATAGCGGCAGAGTCAGCACGGCATTGTCTAGAGGCCTGAAAAGTCTGTCAGTAATCTTTGAGTTTGCAACGAGCAAGTTAGATAAAGGAGAACCAGTAATCTATTTGGATTTCTAGAAGGCCTTTGACAAGGTGGAAAACGTGAATATATTCCTTTTGTTTGCAGAGAACGGGTTGCTGCAGATGGATGAATCTCACTTCTATCAATTGTAAATAATTAGCGTTTTGTGGTCAACTGGTTTGAGCCATGCTGTCCAATTTCTGGATCAGGTCGAACAGCAGATGTTTTGTTTAGATTTTTACAGGTGTGGGGCCGGGTTGAGTACAGTCAGCACTTGCCTCAGTATGAATAACTGCAGAGACATACTGTTTGAATCAATCGGCCATATGCTGGGACATATGATCTACACACCTGGCATCACATAAGCATGGAAATTCATATCTGACATTGCTTAATCGTGTGGGAGGCAGAGCATCTTTCTGGGCTGATAGCAGCATTCTGTTATTGGGAAGTAACACTCACATAGTGACTGCATTGTAACAGTGTGAAATGAATTTCTTAACCTGCTTTTCACATTTCTGAGACACTGAGCTGTCCTATTGCATGGATGGGAATCACATGCTGAACAGTCCTGAGTATGCATAAGATACACGAACAACAAACTGGGAATTGGGGTACTGTCAGATGCTCATTAGTTCTGACATGGCAATGTTTTTGGCAGTCAGAGATGACTTACCAATTAATTTCCATCCTTTTCTCTTGAATAATAAACTATTGTGATCTTTTGAAATCAGGCATTTTTTACATTTGTCCTGACCAGTGAAAGATTAAAAACATTAACAGTAAATGTCCCTTGTGATCAGTTACCAGACATTGTACATATACAGACATCTTCTGATTTGTGAAATGAAGTTTTGTTTGTGGGGTGATAGCGAGCAGTTGGATATCCTTAATTGACTGGATACGAGCAAAAGATCAGAATAAATAGATCAAACACTGAACATTACAAACAAAAATAGAAATCCATCCTCTATTCATTTAGTTCCAATAAAGATTATTCAGACAATTGTTTGCTATTAAAGACAACACCAAGCTGGATTATATCATTTGTATAGTTACAAATAGGTGATAACTGATTAAAATTTATATTTGATAAAGAATGTTTAACTAATAGAATATTGAGACATCTTACAGAAAATTCAAAACTGTAGAACAGAATATAAATATTTGTTTAAAATTCCAAACTATCGCTGAAGAAGAATTTCCAAATACAATCTCAGTATTGTTTTAGATTATAATTTTAAAATTCACAAACAGAATAACAAGTCAAGGAATCTCATATTGTCCAATAACTAATCTTAAAAAAATTGTCATCTGTTATATCATTATTTGAAGAAAGTGTCTGAAAGAATAAAATATAACAAAAGAATAGTCAAGTACCAATGCTAATGTCATATTTATTATCTCTTACACAGTATTAGAAACTTTTTGCAATTACTACGGTTCTGAAAAATCTATATCTTTTTGATAGCAATGTATAATGATTAAACAATGACACTTTTATTTAAGTTTTGAATAAGAAAGATTTAAATTAAAATAGAAAATAAATTCATGACAGTTCATTAGAAAGTGAAAACACAGGTTTCCTTTTCTGATTGAGATCCCTGTGGTCACATTTAGAGAGAAAATTTCAACTTTCTGTCCAAGGATAAAGCAGGAGACCTAATCAGGTGCCTGTCGCACTCTGGTTTGTAGAGTTTGCAGAAATCACTTAAAGGTGAAGATAAAATTACCCCAAATTTTATTTTTCTAGCTCATTCTTCACATGTGGAATCTAGCAAAGCAAAGTGATTTTCTCTACAAGCTAAACACTGGTTACACGTTTCAGAAACTCCTGCAAACCTGGTAAATTGGGTGGAAATTTCTCAGAACTGTTCCCACTGCAACTCCATAACCTCCGGAAGGTCAGGGATTGAGCTGAGCACATGCCAACAAAGCACTTTGGAATGAAAGTGGGAGGTCAGGCTGGCGGATTCCTGTTGGTAGAGAGTTATAGCAGGACAGAATGAAGCAGGAGAGGCAGACAGCTCCAAGAGTAAGTGAGAAGTTGTGGATGAGAAGGGGGAAGGAGGTCTCTTGAGCTAGCTGTTTGAAGCCAATGTGTTAGTTGAATTAATCAATCTTCACATTGTATTTATCTTCAATGTCTTTTTCAATTTGCTCCCAGGACAAGCCCCAACTAGAAGTGCTGTCTGCTGGCATGGCTGAGTATTTATCAGCAAATTTGGTGTTGTATTTGTAGAACACCCACTTCCAAAAGGCTGATGTTTCGATGCTGGTATCAGGTGGAATATTCCAGTGACTGTACCGGTCATCGAGATCCCTGTATTTCTTGTAAGGAAACCAATTTCCGTCAGTGTCATCATTCTGGAAACTGCCCTCACCTGCAACACTTGTTGTACAATTCTCTGATGCCAGTACCCTGGTAGTAGTATATTTGTATCCATTCAGTCCTCTGCTCCGGTGATATTCAGCGCTGTGCTGTGTGTATTCTCTGTTTGTACAATCACACAGGACTTCACAAAAGGGACACTGCTTCCCACAGCCAGATAACATTGCGTATAATTCACTGGATGGATCTGTGGGGAGTGTAGAGATTTTTTGAGCAATATTCTTCTCCCAATTTTTAACTCTCTTAGTCAGGTCATTTGTTCTGATAAAACTTTCAATTTCTTGTTTAAAGTTCCGGGGGTTGATCTTTTCAGACTGAAAAGTAACAGGTCTCAATTTCTCCAAAGGAATCTGTATCCCATCTTCCAGTTTCTTTTTCAATACCTGAATGATCCCGGTCACTGATTTCTCATTATTTGGAGGTGTTATATATTTCAGAGTTTCCTGCACCTGTTTGATAACCCCGTGCAGAATATTGAGTGCAAGAGAACACAGCAGAGGAACTTGTTCCTCATTTGTGGCTGTACAGTGCTGAACAATTTGTTCTTTCAGCCAATCTTTCTCAAATGACACGGTGTGTTTTATGTATTGGTAATATTCATCAAAACTGTCTTTCTCCTTCAAATACAGCATCAGAGCCACCTGGAAGTTTCTCCGGTACAAGAATTTCCCTCCTCTGCAGTGGTGCCTCATGTGCTGAACAATTTCCAATCCCACTTTGTTATCAACAGCTTGGATAATGGCTGGGGTGAGGCAATTTTCACAGAACAGTTCTGCTCTCTGTTTGGTTTGATCTTTTTCCCAGTAGATATCCTTAAAGCTTTGGCAATAAGCTGCTTTCTCCTTTTGTAACTGCTCCAGGGGATCATTGTTCTTTTGGTATCTATCATGCATTTCTTTATATTGTTTAACAGCAAACCCATATACCCAGTTTAAATTTGACCATGAAAAGTTGAGTAAAAACATATCTCTGCTCCTGGTTTTTCTGGATTTTCTCATCTATGACTCTGCAATGATTAGAATCATAATCCTGCTCCTGGTCTGCTGTCTGATTCACAAACTGTTTACACTCCTTCACCCACTGATCACGCAGCTGCTGGGCTCTTTCAAAGTCATTTTCATTTAGTTTTGTCAATGGGTTGAGATATTTGGGAGGATGATTCTGCTTGATCTGGAAGGATTTTTCACTCTGCTCAAGCAGAGTTTTATTTTGAATTTTCTGGTTAAGGAGCTTGGTGTCTGCGGGCATGTTCTGATGTAGACTCAGTTCCATGTCCTTCACTATATCAGCTCTTGGTGGACGTTAATGTTGAAAAGTTGAAACTGTCTGCTCCCACATTTTCTCAAACACTGTCTCCAGTTGGGTTTCATCCATTCTCCTATTTTCTCGTCTGCACTGCTGTAGGAGTTTATTGACCTGTTCTTCAATCTGACTCTGATACATGTCCTTAATATCATTCAGCTTCTGCAGAGCTCTCCTCCTCTGCACTGCCTCATCACACTTCCAGTCCATATACATTCTACGTTCAATGATCAGAGAGTTGATGCTCCGGACAAAATCCTCCCTGTATTATTCAACAAGGTTTGCGTTATTACCGGTGGAATAATATTCCTTTAACTGTAGGAGAGTTTTATCTTTCTGTTCACTGAGAAATTTTACCTGTTCTGTTTTCAAAATTTGTGCAACATTTTCTGGATCCTGTCTTGTATTAAAAATTCTGTTCTGGGCTCTTTCCAGGAAGAAATACATCTCTTTCCTCAGTTCCCACTCCAGGTCAGTGTATGTGACAGAAAGTTCCTTGTAAGCTTCGGCTACCAAACTGTTCCGGAAACTGAAGATGAAGTTCTCATATTTCACCGCCTTCCACAGGGATTTAGTCCACTGGATTAACTCAGAGATGGTCGACAGTCTCCCTTTATTTCTCTTCTCTTTCAGATTCTGAAAAATCCTTTTCTTCAGCTCAAACACCTTGTGACTGTAGCTGGTATTGACAGCTGCCATGGGTGGATATCCATGCCACAGCCCTGGGATATTCCAGTTATTCTCCATTGCATCGTACTCCAACACATCCGAGAACTTGCTGAACTCTCGATCTCATTTTTCCATTTTAGCCGCTGCTTGTGTCATCACATCCAGCTGTTCCAGCAGATGTTTGCAGCCTCTGATATTCTGATCATGAGCAGCCACATCACTCACATTCTGGTGAACAAAGTAACAAACCGGCCTTTTCCCCACTTCTCTCATTCGTATAACTGCATGGACCACTATCAGCAGCACATCCTGCATCTCAGTAGAGTTTTCCATTGCCATATTTATCAATGTTACATCACTTAACCCAATCACCAGGCTGGCGAGCTCATTGTCATGTTCATAGCTGCCGTTGATTTCTGACAGCCCTGGTGCTTTCAGCCCCTCAGTGTCGATCACCGTGATGTACCCACAGCCCAGCTCCAACTGCAGATTTCCTGTGATCTTGATGTGCTGCATGAAGGCCCTACGGGTACATCGCCCACTGCCCACAGCAAACTGCAAACCAAACATGGTGTTGAGAAGTGTGGACTTGCCTGTGCTCTGTACACTCAACACCATCAACACAAACACACTGGTTTCTCTGCCAATCCTGTCTTCAACTGCCTTCAGTACATCAGTGACCCACTGTAAAGGGATATTGGAAACATTTCCATCAATGAGCTCCAGAGGGAATCCATCTAACATCAGGTCAGCAGCAGTGTGGGGTAATGTTTGCACAATGTGTCTCTCTTGCTCATTGTGATTATTTTGATTTATCAACGCTTCATAAATTAGTCCGATTTCTCGCATGAAGTGTTCGAGTCCAAGGGAGTTGGCAATTATCTGTTGGTCTAATTCCTGTAACTGTTCACTGGTTGTAGAGTCTTTCTGCTTTGTTGACTGTCGCTGAGATTTCTCATGCAGAACTTTGTACTTTTCACGTAAAACAGAGATAGTATGTATTAATTTGGAATCCAACCCAAATTTCATCCACTGCCAGAAATATTTCCTCTCATTCCTATCTATCAAGGCTGCAATGAATCTTTTCATATCAGCTGATATACATTTCACTTGCTGCTGTTTTTGAAGTGCCTTCTTCTCTTCTTCAAGGCCATTATAATATTTTTGTATTAGCCTCGCCTCTTGCGGTTTTGGGCGACATTGTTCTTTTTCTATTTTGGAAACTTGTTGCCAAGTGAAACCCTGAAAAGACATGTTTTCTACTTTGTACTGGCTAATAGCTTCTCCTTTAATAGAATTATAAATGTTTCCAGATCTTGCTTTACCCTGCGAACACAGATCATTGTCCTCATCTATTACAATCCCCATGTCCCTTGCAGTTACTGCCAGTTTCTCCAGGCTCCTGGGGCCCTGACCAGTCACCTGTTGATGGGTTATTTCCAAGGCCTTTTTCAATATGAGTCGCAGTGTCTCAGTAAACTCTGCATTGTTCCTTTTCTCTTGTGATAATATTTGTCCCTTTTTATACACTGAGGATGTAATTAATTTGTTTAATTGTTCTTTGGTCTCACTGTACACACTGCTCCCAGTGAGCACTATCTAGGCACTTGCTGGAAACTGGGCGAGGGATTTCAGGATTTTGCTTAAAGCACTGTCGATATTATCAATCCATATAAAAACAGCTGAAGAGATGTTTGTCAGAAACTGAACCTGTGTGTGGAGCTCTTTAGCATCACCTCGAAGGTTTAATATGGTCATTGGCTCTGGGAAAAGATCCAATTCCTCACTCCCACTGGGCAGGTACCAGCACAACTCGTAAAGACCATCAGAAATCCTGCCAGGGAAATTACCACATTCCATATTGTAATGGATGAAGAAGTTGTGATGTTGCTGGGAGGAGCTGAGAACTTTATTTAGAACCTTCGATTTGGAGATGGAACAGGAACCAAGTCGAATGAAGGAAAAGATGGGAATGTTGGCAGTCACCATGCTTGTTTCCTTAAAGCCTGCACAATGTCGGAGTGAGAGTGGGCACCACTTCTTCATAATGGAGCACAGGGCCCACAGTAGGAAGATGCAGCCCTTGTTACCAGCAGGCAGTAATAGTGGCAATGCAAACTGGCACAGGGACATCTTTACCATCAGCTCCTGCTGCAGGAATGGGTCAGTACACAGGAAAATAGACACAATGATATCCAGGGGATGGTATAAATCTTCAAAATCTTTATCTTCTTGGAAAAAAATCCAAGTTTTCTGATTCTGGCTGATTCTGTATCTTAGTTAGGTTATATTTCATGTTTCTTGCCTCTGATTTGGCCTTCATTAAATTCCAGCAAAAATATGCTGGAATATCCTGAGTGGAACCCATCAATATATTTTGAAGTGTTTTTGTGTTTATATTGAGAACGTCACTTGGGGATAGTTTTTGATTTTCTAATCCCAGTTTTTTTAACAGTTGATCAACATTACTGTCTTGATTTGTTTTTCTAGTCTTTGCAGAAGAATCATTGTTTGCAGTAATTGGAATCTCTTTTTGGACTGAATGCTGGTCTTCTTCAGTTGTCATTTTCTTATCTCCCACTAGGTCATGCAGACTTGATCCAGGCTGTGATCCTTTTTGAAAAGACTCTGTTTGGACCTTTGTATCAGATTCAGCTAGCTTTTTTGTCAGTTTAGTATCCATGAGTTCTGGGTGATAGAGTGTGGTATCAGTTCCTTGGAGTTCTTGAGTTGGAACTGATGAAAATAATAACATTGTTATTCAACTATGCAATATTGAAGAGAAGTTGTCATGGTCAACATATTTTGTTAGTGATTTAAAGGTATTTTTAATCATCACAACTGCACTTATGTAAAACGATAACATCTTAAATGTAGGAAATGACATAGGCCATTCAGCCCATCTTGCTCCACAATTCAATGAGATCATGGATGATCTGATAATCCTTAACTCCGCCTTACTGACTTTTCTACATAACCACTCATTCTCCTAATTATGAGAAGTCTGTCTCTCTTGAATATACATAACAACCCAGCCTCAACAACCCTTCGCATCTACCCTGTCAAGTTCACTAAGAAACTTGTATGTTTACATAAGGTCTCCCCTATCCTTCTCAGCTCCAATGGGTACCTCTCCTCATAAGAAAATCCCTTCCTACCCAGATCAACAGAGTGATCCTTCTCTGAAATGCCTCCAATGTCAATATATCTTTCCTTGGAAGACAGGTCAAAATTGTTTGGAGTATTTTCAGTGTGGTCTGATGAATGGTTTGTACAGTTTTAGTAACATTTTTTTTGCTCTATTCGCTTTGAAATAAGGCTTGATATTCCATTTGCCTTCCCTAGTACCTAGAGAAGTATGCTCACTTTTGTGTGATTTATGCATGAGGACTCCCAAATTCCTCTTTGCTGCAGCTTTCTGCATTCTTTATCCATTTAAATGATATTCAACTTCTCTATTCTTCCAGCCAAAGCTCACAGTTCCCACATTATACCGCATTTGCCAAGTTTTTGCTCACTGACTTAACTTGATTACATCCACTTGTTAGAGGCTTTGTGTCATCCTCATTGTTTGCCATACCAACTATTTTTGGATGCTTTGCATACTTAGCGAGAGTACATCATTTTCCACATCCAAGTCATCAGTGTATATTCTAGATAATTGTTGTCCTAGTGCAGATACTTGTAGCACTTCACTTGATATAGGTTGCCATCCGGAAAATGCTCCCTCTTATCCCAACACTGCCTTCTATCAGTCAATCATCTATTGATATTAGTATACTACCCCAACATAATAGGATCTTTAAAAAAACGACTCTGACTGCTGGATTTCTGAAACAAAACAAAAATTGCTGGAGAAACACAGTAGTTCTGGTAGCATCTGTGGAAACAAAGTAGAGTTAATGTTTCAGGTCCAGTGACCTTTCTTCAGAACTGATTATAACAAGGAAAGGATTGGTACAGTGGCTAAAGATTAGATGGGGGCTTAGGGGAGGCAAGGGAGGAGTAAATGATAGGTGGAGATGGAACTCAGAGAGAAAGAATAACAGTTTGAAGTAATTGCAATGAGGTTGGACAGGTGGATCTATTGAGTATGAGTTCCCAGATTAGGGCTGTTTACCTGGGCCAATCAAGGAGTCTTGGCTGACAGGTATAAACAGGAGTCTCAGGGATCTTTCTCATTCCAGTGACTGGATCTGAACTACCTTTCAGAGTCCATGTACTGTGCACATGCAAATAAAGATTGACTTGGTGATAGGATACTGGCCTCCAAGCAGTAATTTCAATGGCAATAAGGGAAAACAAAATGCTCCTGAAGAAAATTTGCTCACAACAGTTGTCTTTCAGTTAGTGTAAGCACTTCTGGTGTCATGCCTTTATTTGGGAAGCTTGACTCATTTGATACTGCCTTTGAAGTCTTGACTGTGGAAAGATTGCATTATATTTCCTGGGCATATGTATGTATATATCGGGGCAGATGAAAAGCATTGAAAAGCAATGAAAAGCAGTTGCAGTTCAAGAATCATGGGAATTTGTATTGGGATTTTTTGATGATTTTAAGACCACTGGCAAAGGCATGTGATTTTGGGTTAACCCTGAATGAAATGCTGAGAGACTATTTTGTATGTGGGATTAATCATGTAACCATGCAAAAGTGCCTCCGAGCTGGATTTCAAACTGCGAATACAACTGGCTTTGCCATTAGAAAATGCAGCAAGTGGAACATGTGAGCTACAGGGTATTCGAATGGAAGTGGACACCCTCACCTGTCTGATTGAGCTTGGCAAGCACCACTTGATTGTAGGTAATCACATAGTCTCACACAGGGCAAATTCCTGGGCAGACAATCCTAGGTCAGCCCACAGTAAAACTCCAAAACCAAGCCTAGTCTTGGCCAAATAGCAAAAATGTTCTTCAGGATGTGGGCCGGCAAGCCATTGTAATTGCAGACTCGAGACTGCAGAGGAGACCCATGAGATCCGACATAAGTAAGAGAATTCATAGGCCGGTATCCAGGAGAGTGCAGAACCTGGAAAGTCCACCTACATGTGGTTTGTAACAAATTGCTTAGCAAGATCCAAAGCAGAATCAATCGAAATAAATGTTTGACTAAATGGTCACCCGGTTCTATTGGAGGTTGATACTGGTGCAGCTGTATCAGTGGTTGCAGCGCCCATTTTTAACAAGATTTGCCTGGACTCCAACCCTTAAGTTTGCACAAGATCTTGGCCAGACTGAGAACGAACACCGGGAAACAATTATATCGGTTCCAGGCTCCTATGAGAAACAGTTGGTGCAGCTACCACTGATTGTAGTAAAAGGCTGGGGCTCAACCTTGATGTGGCAGAATTGGTTGAGAAATATTCACCTTGATTGGCTCAACAGAGAGAACAAAATTAATGGTGGTGGACAAGAGAAAAAGACCCTGAGCTTCCAGTTGCCTGTGGTTTAGCAGTTTAAAAAAAAACAGCTATCATAATGCATGAAGCATAGACAATAAGGTTGATAAACTAATGGCACAAATAGAAATAAATCATTCAGACCTAATCACTAACACAGAAACTTGGTGTCAAAGGCTGAGAAATAACTGTTCCAGCGTAATTTTGTAAAGTTAGGCAAAATGGAAATGGAGTTGGGATAGCTCTCATAATAAAGGATGGCAATAACAACATTAGGCCATAAGAATTAGAGCAGGATTCAGCTAATCAGACCATTGAGCTTGCTGTACCATTCAATAAGATCTCATCTGATCTGATCGTGGCTTTAACTCCACTTTCCTGTTGTTCCTGATAACCTTCAACTCCCTTGCAGATCAAAGATCTGCTTGAATATATTCAGTCTTGGTTAGTCTCTGGGGAAGAGACTTCTACTGACCCATGGCCTTTGAGAAGAAATTTCCCCCTTCATTTAAATGGGCATTTTTTTTTCAAATTTCTCTCTCCTAGTTCTAATCTCTCCCAAAAGGGTAAACATCCTTTCAGTGTTCACACAGTCAAATTTTCTCAGAATCCTATATGTTTCAAAGAGAGCACCTCATTCATCTGATTTCCAACCATCCAACCTTTTCTCAAGATAGTCTCTCAAACTTCCAAAAAATTCCCAGGAGTCTGTCAAGTGAACCCCATCTGAACTGCTTCCAATGCAATTACATTGTTTCTTAAGGCAGGAAACAAACAACGTACACTGTACTCCAAATATAGTCTTACCAATACCCTATAGACTGGAGTGAAACTTTCCCTTTATGTCCCATTTCCCCTTTTAATAAACAACAACGTTCCCTTTTCAGATATGTTATGACCTCTTCTCAATTTGCTTTCCAACCTGCACGGCTAGATAACATACAATGTGTCTTTGGCCATTGAGGAATCCACTTTTCCTTGTTTCTGAGGAGAAATTTGAGCACTTTCTTGACAGAAAATAATCTGCAAAATTTGTTCACCTCTCAAGGAAATACATTCTTTCTGCTTATTTGCCACAAGGGACCAAGAAACAAAAGGTTATAATCACATGTCAAAATCTAGTCTTCCCACTCTTCTCTGAGGATGAGACTTCCCATTGGAATCTCCTAAAGCATTCAATCAAACTCCAAACAAGCCACTTATCATTCAAGTGAGTAAGGTGAGACTGGATGGCCTCGACATTAATACCTGGAATATTATAGGTATGGCAGATGCCTTTAGGGCATGGATTGACTCATGGAACTGTGATATTGTTGCTATCAAAGAAACATAGTTCACATGAGGACAGGATTGGCAACTCAACATTTCGGTGTATAGGGTCGGGCGAGAAGGGGAGAGTGTAAAAGAGGAGCTGGGATTATTACTTGATGAGTCAATTACTGCTGTAAGGATGAATAATATCCCCAAAAGATCTTCAAATTAGTCTTTGTAGGTAGAGTTTAGGAATAAAAAGTGTGCAGTCACACTGACAGTATATTGTTATAGGCCATCAAACAGTTAGCAGGAAATAGAGGAGGAGATAATAAATATACAATTCACTGAACACCATACACGATCTTGTGGAAATGAAGTCCTGCCTTCTTGTTGAGAAACACTCCAAAATGTGGCATTATCACCTTATGAAATGGAACAATATTGGAACAGATCTAGCAACTGAAAACTGGGCATCCATGAGACACTCTGGACCATTGACAGCAACAAAATCGTACTCCAACAAAAACTGTAACCTCCTGGCCCACAATATCACCCACTCTACAATTTTCATCATGCCAGGGGATCAACCCTGGTTCAATGGAGAGCAAAACAGTGGGCCAGTATGGTGGCTCAGCTGTCGACAATGCTGCCCCACAGTGCCAGGGACCTAGGTTCGATTCCACCCTCAGGGAACTGTTTCTGTAGAGTTTGCACATGCTCCCTATGTCTGCATGCGTTTCTTCCGGGTGCTCTGGTTTCCTCTCACAATCCAAAGATGTGCAGGTCAGGTGGACTGGCCATGCTAAATTGTCTATAGTGTCCAGGGATGTGCAGGCAAGGTGAATTAGGCATGGGAGTGTAGGGAGGGAGTGGGTCTGGAGGGATGCTGTTTAGAGGGTTGGCTTGGACTTGACGGGCTGATTGGCCTATTTCCACACTGTAGGGATCCTATCCTATTCTATTCATCCCAGGAGCAGCACCAGGCACGAATAAAAATGATGATCACCCATTTCTAGAATGTAGCAAAATATTGTTTGTTGGATTTACTATCAGGATATCGGCAAAAGACAAATGAATGTTGCCTACCCAGATGGGGATATGAGGAGGTGGCCTCTGAGTGAACAACAAGAGCTGCAGCAAAGTGTGTTTACCTGAGATGTGCTATATGACAGGATACTGGACTCGACAGAGTTTGGGGATTGATTCCTGAGGTGTTGTATCACTCACCTTCCCTGTACTTTGGAGGTTTTGGATTCTCCTCGTTCACTGTCTTCTGGCTGGAGGGAGTACCGTGCTGCAGCTGGCTTCTTTGGCCACTTCCATCCAGATGTATTTTATTTGGGATATTGTTCTGCTCCTGTCCTTTCAAACATTCTCCCCGGTTTGTCGCAAGGGTATGTGTTGCTAAGTGGGCAAGGTGCTGAACATTGTGTTTTGAGATCTTGTTTCCAATGATGTGGGGACTGAAGACTGAAAAAGGCCAGAGCTGCTGAGATTGTCAGAAACATGCAATGATACTTAGAAATCAATCCTAAGGCAGATTGGATAGGTCATCACACCCATTCTTCCAAATTACTCCAGGAAAACGGAATGGGTATCTTTATTACTTTGTGCTCGATAAAAAGCCATTGGATAAAATAAATTCTCTTCAACACAGTCCTGTAGATTTGGCATGTTGTCTTGAGTTATCTTCCAGTGTTTTATATTCTCCAACCAAGAGAAAGAATCTCTCAGTTTGAATTTTCTAGATCACACTATACACTCCAACAGCATAGTTAAAGCATAATCAATATATTCTAGCATTTCCCAACATGTCAGGTTGACACACCTATAATTCCCTCTTTTCTGTCTCCTTCCTTTCTTGAAAAGCTGTGTAACATGTTCCAACTTCCAAATGGATTGGAACATTCCTTAATCTATGGAGTTTTGGAAAATGATCATGAGCACATCCACTATCTCTGAATTTCCATTTTAGATGCAATGAGTAAATGCCCTCGGATCCCATGATATTGCCTCATTTTAGTTCTTTAAGGGACTCAGCACATTTCCTCAAATGATAATTTCCTTATTCTGTTGATCCTCTCAAAAACAATTCATTCCAGAAAGAAATAAAACATCATTTGTATGACATGCTGTCTGCATAGCTGCAAAAGCCAATTAACGTTGTCTCAGATGGGGATATGAGGAGGTGGCCTTCGGGTGAACAATGAGAGCTGCAGTAAGATGTGTTTACCTGAGATGACTGCACCTGGATGAGGATCCTGATTCTGCCCATGGGTATGTGCAACTGACGGACCAGGATGCTGTGCAATGTCTTCCAAGGTTGTGTCTCCAATCATGTGGGGACTTTAGCCTGAAAAAAGACACTTCTGTCAGAAACAGTTACACAGAAATCCATTCTCATTAGATTGGATACATCATTACACCCACTCTCCCAAATTACTCCAGAGGAATGGAGCGGGAATCTTCATTGCTTTGTGCTTGTGATGAACAGCTGGAAAGTACGTCATTGTAGTGGATGGACCTTGACTTGGTATTAGTTCAGTCCTCACAACAGGAAATAAGATTGTAGGATCCTCTCTCATATCTGTTTGATGTGGTGTGTATTGGGGTGTGTTGCAGTGTCTTCATGAAATAATGCAGAGCTTGATGAATTATAGTGTCTGTGTGAAAGCGTTTAGAGTTTGATGTGGTAGCCTGTCTGTGTGAAAATGTGCAGTATTGAAAAGGGCATAGTGTTATCTGTATCGAAGCATGCAGTGTATGATGACACAATGTATGTACATTGTCAGATTGAAAGGTTGGGGACGAGAAAGGGGTGCACTGTGTGAACGTTTGCAGGGATGAATATAACACTGCATATTTTGGAAGGATAGTTGTGGGACATGGATCCAGGTTTACGAGCTTGATTAGCTTCTTCTACATATTCTACAATTTATGTCATCAAATGACACCAATAAATATGTCCAAAAGAATTTCCCACTTTGAATTCTTCTAGTTCACTCTATGCACTCCTAATCGAAATGCAAAGTTAAAGCTTCAATTAATAACAGGTCAAAGTAACTATCATTCCCCGTTTCTCTCTCATCCCTTTCTTATAGAGCAGCAGAACATGTTCCAACTTCCAAACAGATTGGAATGTTCCTGAATCTATGAAATCTTAGAATTATTTTGTTTAGGCTCTCAGATTACATAGAATTATCAGAATTTATTCCCTTACCAATCTTTGGTACATTTCCTCTAATTGAAAGTACCTTACAACATTAATATCCTTGAAAATCATCCAATTCTAGAATATAGCAAACATTTTTGGTGGGATTTGCAATCAGGGCATCTACAAATGAATGCTGGTGGCCAAGATGGGGATATGAGGATGTGTTCTCTGAATGATCAATGAGAGCTACGACAAGGTGCGTTTACCTGAGACGTGCTGTCCAGTAGAATACTGGAATAGTGACAGATTGGGGATTGAAGCGTTGCACCACTCTCCTTCCCTGTCCTCTGGGGATTTTGGTTTCCCCTGGTTCACAGTGCTCTGGCTGGAGGGAGCACTCTCCAGCTGCTGATTTTTTGGGCCATTTTCATCCAGAGCTGTTTTATTTCTGATACAGTCCTTCTTCTCCCATCCGTTGCTATGTTCTCCTGGATGAGGACCCTGGTTCTTCCCATGTCTATATACAGCTGAGTGGACGGGATGCTGAGCTTTGTCTTCCAAGGTCTTGTCTCCAATAATGTGAGGGCTGGAGCCTGAAAAAGACAAGTACTGCTGAGATGGTCAGAAACAGGCCATGATGCTGATGCACAGAAATCCTTCCTTGCTAACAGTGGATAGGTCATCACACCAACCCTCCCAAATTACTCCAGAGGAACACAGTGGGGCTCTTCACTGTTTTGTTCTGGTGAAGAACAGACAGAAAGCACATCATTGAAGTGACTGGACTGTCATTGGTAATTGTTCAGTCCTGACATAAAGGGTCAGGTGCTCGGATTCTGATCCATATTAGTTTGACGTGGCGCACAGTTGAATGGTGCAACATCTGTGGAGCTTGATGGACTACAGTGTCTGTGTGAAAGAACGTGGAGTAGTATTTGATACGGTGCCTGTGTGAAATGTTGTGGTTTCAAAATGGATAAAGTGTCTGTATCTGAATACATAGAGTTCCATGTCGTAAATGTTGCAGAGTTGAATGTGGTTTAGTTTACATTAAAAAGGATGCAGTGGGCTCCAGAGTCTGTGCGAAGTGTGAGGTGCTGTATTAGGTAACATGCCTGTGTGAAATCTATGTGACTTGCATGTCTTCAAGTGTGTACGTGAAAATTCTGGAGTTGGATGGGGCCTGCTGTCTGTGTGAAGGAGTGGGGAGTTGGATACACAAATGTGTCTCTATGAAAGGGTGGGGAGATGGATGGCATTCTGTGTCTGTGTGAAACATTGTGGCTTTGGTTGTTTTACAGTGTCTATGGTAAAGGTCTGGATGTCTGACGTTGTATCTGCAAAGAAGACAAGCAGGTAAATGTGAGTGCTGGGAATAGATCATGGACAGAGGAAGGGAAGTTCATAAGAACACTTGAAGTAATTCCGGAGTTTAACACGTGGTTGTTTCATTCTGTTCTACTGTTCAATATGATCATTGGTTACATTGGCCTTCAACACAATGGTCCTACTGACTTCCGGTGTTCTTTTCATTCCTGTGAGAGCAATAATCATTCTATCCCAAATTTAGTCAGCCACTGGGAGGACACAAATGTCCAGGCTGGAGAATTCCAAATAATGATAGACATTGGATAATGTATAATCTCTTCATCTTCAGTCCTGTAGGTTTGTCCTGAGACTATGTTCCCATTTTTTTATATTCTCCAACCAGGAGAAAGAATCTCTCAGTTTAAATTGTTCCAGTTCATACTATACACTCCAATTGCAAAGTTAAGGTATAATCAATAAGATTCAAGCATTCCCCCCAAAAAAATGACATTAGGCCAATAGGCCTATAATTTTCTCCATTTTGTCTCCTTCCTTTCTTGCAAAGCAATGTAACATGTTCCAACTTCAAAGTAAAATTTCAGAAAATTATATCAAGCACATTCACTATCTCTGTATTTCCGTTTTAGACCCATTGTGTATAGGCTCTTAAATCTCATGGAATCATCAGATTTTAGGTCTTTTATGGATTCAGTACATTTTCTCAATATAACTTTGTAACTCTATTGACACGTTTGAAAACATAGAACATAGAACAGCACAGCACAGGATCCAACTCCCCACAGACATCATGTCACATCCAATTCCACAACTTTCATTTACACACTTGAAGGCATGCAAGTTGCATAATTTTCACGGATATGTTACCTAATACAGCACCATAGAGCCCATGCAACTCTACTTCCTTTTATATTTAGAACATGGAACATAGAACTGCATGGCACAGGAACGGGCCCTTCAGCCCAATGTTGTGCCGAATGTGACACCAAATTAAACTAATCCCTTCTTCCTGCCCTTGGTCCATATCCCTCCATTCCTTGCATGTTCATGTGCTTATCTAAAAGCCCCGTAGATGCCCCAATCATATCTGCCTTCACCATTATCCCTTGTAGCACGTCCCAGTAAAAAAACTTGTCCCTCACCTCTCCTTTTAACTTTTCCCCCTCTCACTTGAAGTGCATGCCCTCTAGTATTAGACATTTCAACTCTGACAGAAGGATTCTGACTGTCAATCTTTATCTATACTTCTCATAATTTTATAAATTTCTGTTATATCTCCCCTCAGTCTCTGCCACACCAGAGAAAACAATTCCGGTTTCTCCAACCTCTCCTTACAGTTCATACCCTCTTATCCAGGCAGCATCCTGGTAAAACTCTTCTGCACCCTCTCCAAATCCTTCCTGTCATGTGGTGACCAGAAATGAGCCCAACACTCTAAATGTGGCGTAGCCAAATTTTATAAAGCTGCAGCATCACTTCCTGACTATTGTACTCAATGCCCCAACCCATAAAGCCAAGCATGCCATATGCCTTCTTTAGCCCCTATCTACTTGTGTGGCCACTTTCAGGAAGCTATGGACTAGGACCCAAAAATCCTTCTGTACATCAGGGTACTGCCATTAACTATATACTTTCTCGTAGCATTTGATCTCCTAAGGAGTAACACCTCACACCTGCCCAGATTAAACTCCATCTGCTATTTCTGCAACAGATCTACATTCTGCTGTATCCTTTAACACTATCCACAACTTTTCTGATCTTTGTGTCATCTGCAAACTTACTGTCCCACCCATCCAAGTCATTTATATAAATCCCAACACTACTAGTCACAAACCTCCAGCCAGAAAAAAAAACACCCTTCCACCACTACCCTGTGTCTTCTAGGGGCAAGCCAATTCTGAATCTAAATGACCAAGACACCATGCTTCCCATCTTCTGTATGAGTCTATCATGAGGAACCTTGTCAAAAGCCTTACTGAAATCTAATGAAGCAACGTCCACTGCTCTACCTTCATTGATCACCCTCATTGCCTTCTCAAAAAGATCGATCAGGTAGTGACACATGACCTGCCCTGCACAAAGCCATGCTGACTGTCCCTAATTAAGCCATGCTTTTCCAAGTACACATAAGTTCTATCCCAAAGAATTCAATCCAATAGCTTCACAACCACTAATTTGCCACATTACCCCTATTTCCCTTTTTGAACAGAGGAACAATATTAGCTACTTACCAGTCCTCAGGGAGCTCTCCAGTGGCTAGAGAGGATACGAAGAACTTGGTCAAGGCCCCAGCAATCTCCTCTCCTGCCTATCTCAATAACCTTGGGTAGATACCATCAGGCCCTAGGGACTTATCTACATTAATGCTCTTCAAGAGATTGAACACCATTTCTTTCTTGACCTTAAAATGCCCTAGCATATTAGTGTGCTTAATACTCATCTCACTGTCCTTTATGTTCTTCTCCTTGGTGAATACCGATGTAAAGTACTTACTTAGGACCTGACCCATAATCTCTGCTTCCAAGAATTCTCTTTCCTTATCTTTGAATGGTCTTATATCTCCCCAGCTATCCTCTTGCTTTTAACGTATGTATAAGATGTCTGGGGATTCCCTTTAATCCTATTTGCCAAGCAATTTCATGGCCCCCTTCTTGGTCTTCTAATTCCCTGCTTGAGTTTTCCCCTACTTTTTTCATATTCCTCATGGGACCTGCCCAATTTTGGCTTTCTAAACCTTACATATTACAAACGATTATGTTCTGGAAAGAAATAAAACATTTTTTGTAGGATATCTGCAGATGGCAAATGAGTATTTGCAGTGTACGCATCGCAGTGTTTTTATGAAATGATGTAAAGCTTGAAGAGTTACAGAGACTGTGTGAAAGTGTGCAGTTTTGTAAAGGGCAGAGTGTTGTCTCTCTAAAGTAGGCAATGTATGATGCACATTGTCAGATTGAAAGAGTGCGATATGAAAGGGGTACAGTGTCGATGTGAAACGTGCAGAGATCGAACTGGAACAGTGTATTTGAAAGAGTAGTAATTGGAAATGGATCAAAGTTTACTACTCGACTAGTTTCCCTCTACATCGTATTACTTATAAGATCAAACAACGCCAATGAATATTCCAAATGAAGTTCCCATTGTAAGAAACATTTTGGAAAATGATAGCAATCACAACCATTGTCTCTGCGCCTTTCCTTCAGACCCATTGTGTTTAGGCTGTCAATCTCACTGAATTGTCAGAATCTTTTCTTTAAAAAATCTGCATACACTTCCTTTAATTTTAATAACTTACACCATTTATTCCCTTGCTGATCATTTATTTCTAGAATGGAGCAAAACAGCATGAGTAGGAATTACTATTAGATATCTGCAAAAGGCAGATGAATGTTGGCTGCTCCAATGGAGAGATGAAGAGGTGGCAATGAGAGCTGCAGTAAGGTGTATTTACCTGAGATATGTTGTACAGCAGAATATTGGGCTGTCACAGACAGGGGATTGATGCCTAAGGTATTGCACCAGTCATCTTTCCTGTCCTCTGGGGGTTTTGGTTTCGCCTGTTTCACTGTCTTCTGAATGGAGGGAGCATAATCTTGCTGCAGATTTCTTTGCCCATTTCCATCCAGATCTGTTTTATTTGTGATATTGTCCGCCTTTTCCTGTCGTTGGTCATGTTCACCAGGATGAGGACCCTGATTCTTTCCATGGGTAGGTACAGCTGACAATGCAGGATGCTGAGAATTGTCTTCCAAGGTCTTGTCTCCAATCAAGTGGTGGCTGGAGCCTGCAAAAGACAGGGGCTGCTGAGATTGCCAGAAATATAACATGATGCTGTTACACAGAAATCCATCCTTGGACAGATTGAATAGTTCATCACACCCCTCTCTCAAATATGACTACTTGTGTTCCAAACAGCATTAACAGCAAGCTATAGACAAAGCTAAATAATCCTAGAACAAACTGATAGATCTAAGCTCTGCAGGCCTCCTCATCCAGTCATGAATGCTGATGGACAATTAACCAATTCACTGAAAGAGCAGGTGTAATGATGGAAGACCCCCCAACACATGAGCGTAAAAGTTAAGGCTGAAGCATTTGCAGCAATCGTCAGCTAGAGGCGCCAAGTAGATGATTCAACTCACCCTCCTTCAGCGGTCCTCAGCAATATAGACACTAGTCTTCAGCCAATTCAACTTACGCACATGATAACAAGAAACAGTTGGGGGCAATGAATATGCAAAGGCTATTGGCCTTGACAACATTCCAGAAATGGTATTGAAGACTTGTGCTCTAAAACCTGCCACTCCCCTAGCCAAGCTCTTTCAATACTGTTAGAACACAGGTATGTACCCAACAATGTGAAAAATTACCCAGTTATGTCTATTCCACCAAAAACAGGACAAATCCAACCCGACCAATTACCGCCCATCAGTCTACTCTCAATCATAGTAAAGTGATAGAAGGTGTCATCAACAGTTCTATCAACCAGCACCTGCTCAGCAATACCCTGCTCAGTGACGCCCAGTTTGGGTTCCGCCAGGGCCACTCAGCTCCTGACCTCATTACAGCTTTGATTCAAATGTGACCAAAATAGCTGAATTCAAGATGTGAGGTGAGAGTGACAGCCCTTGACATCAAGTCCACATTCAACCATGTGTGGCATCACCAAGTGTATTTGTCCTAGCAAAATTGGAATCAATAAGTATAGGGGACAAACTCTCCTCTGGTTGGAGTCATACCAGGCAGAGAGGAAGATGGTTGTGGTTGTTGGAGGTCAGTCATCTCAGCTCCAGGACATCTCTGCAGGAGTTCCTCAGGGAAGTGTCCAAGGCCCAATGATCTTCAGTTGCTTCAGCAATAAGCTTCCCTCCATCACAAGGTCAGAAGTGGGAATGTTTGCTGCTGATTGCACAATGTTCACTCTTCAGACTCCTCTGATTCTGAAGTAGTCCACGTTGATAAGCAGCAAGATCTGGACAATATCCAGGCTTGGGCTGACAAGTGACAAGTAACATTCATGCCACAAAAATTCCAGGCTATCACCATCATCAATAAGACATAATCTAACCACCACGTCTTGACATTCAGTGGAACTACCATCACTAAATCCTTCACTATCAATGTCCTGGGCGTTGCCATTTGTGACAATACTGTGCTGTACTTGGTTGTGCTCACCAAGATAAGGCCATTGATACTTTCTATGGATAGGTACAGCTGACAATGCAGGATGCTGAGAATTGTCTTCCAAGGTCTTATCTTCAATCAAGTGTTTATTTTTCAGAGGGGCGTTGTCACCTGGTGACGAAGTGTCTGCACTTCAAGCTGAGTAAAAGAGGTTTGGAGTCTCTCCCTGGGTGCTTTCTTTTCAGAGTTAAGACTAAAGTACCATTACTGGGTAGCGCCAGGCTCCCAGGCAGACTCAGAGTTTTTAGTTTTGCTTTTCAGTTGGGAGTTGTGTGGTGTTAGCTAGCTGCTGGATGAAAAGCTTTGGCTACAGTGGTTCTGTTGGCGTTTCTTTTGGCTGATTTGGAGAGACATAGCACGTGAGAATAAAGCCTGTTCTGCTGAATTGCATTTTTTGCCAAGGGTGTGCTAGTGGGTTGGAACAGTTGATGGTTAGTAGTTAAGATGCTTTGTTTGTGTTTTAACTGTGTTGTAAGAATAAAGTGAGTTTTGCTTCAAGCCTAGTGATGGACCAATTGAATCACATCTGGAACACAGTACCTTACACTTGCCTTTAAAGTAAATAAAAATTGAGGGTCTAGTTTGTCTCCTTGATATATTTTGAGGGGGTTTGGTCTCACCCATAACACATTGATCTGAAACGCCACACAAACACAATGGCTACAAGAGCAGGTTAGAGGCTAGGAATACTGTGGTGAGTACATTGCTTCCTCACTCCCCAAAGCCTGCACATCTAAAAGGCACAAGTCAGGAGTGTGATGGAATACTCCCTACTTACCGTGATGGGTGGTGCACCAGCAAGGCCTGCTCGATTGCCACCATATCCACAAAACTCCACTCCCTCCACCACCTGACGCAACTGGGGCAGCAGTGTGTACTATTTACAAGTTGCACTGCAGAAATTCACCAAAGATCCTTGGCTAGCAACTTCCAAACAATTGACCACTTCCATCTGGCAGGACAAGGGCAGCAGATGCATGGGAACACCACACTGTAAGTTCACCTCCAAGGCACACACCATCCTGACTTGGAAATATATTGCCGCTCCTTCAATGTCACTAGGTCAAAATCCTGGAGTTCCCTACCTAATGGCACTGTGGGACAACCTACAGAACATGGACTGTAGCGGTTCAAGAATGCAGCTCACCATCACTTTCTCAAGGGCAATGAAGGATAGGCAATAAATGCTGGCCAGCCAGTGACACCCACATCCCATGAATGAATAAAAACAAAATAACTCCAGACGAACAGAGCAGGACTCTTCATTGTTTTGTGATGTTGATGAACAACTGGAAAGGATATCATTGAAGTGGGTGGATGTAGTACTGATAATTGTTTAACCCTTGCTACAGAGAATATGGTGCTAGGAAGCTGTCTCATATCTGATTGACATGATATGCACTGGAATGGGGTTCACTAATTTCATTTTTTTTTTGAAAATTCATTCACAGGCTTTGTGCATCTCTTATTAGGCTACCATTTATTGTCCATCTCTAATTGCCCTGTGGTCAGTTGAGCGTTAACCATATTGCTATGGGTCTGGTGTCACATACAGCCTAGACCAGGTGAGGACAACAGATTTCCTTCCATATAGGAAATTAGTGAGCCATCATGAAATGATGTGGAGTTTGGTTTAATACAGTGGTTCGGGTTGTAGTCTATGTGAAAGAATGTAGAACTTGATGTGGTACAGTGTCTGTTGAAAGAACGTAGAGCATTATATGCCATATTGTCTGTGTGAAAGTGTGCAGATTAGAAAAGGGCACTGGGTTGTCTGTATTAAAGTATACGGAGTTGTATGATGTACATTGTGTAAAAGGATGGAGAGTTGAATGGGGTAGCTCAAAAGGGTAGTCATTGGAAGTGGATCCAGGTTTGCTACTTCAAGTAGTTTCCCAATACCTACACCATCAAACAACTCCTAGAAATATATGCTTGAGAATTTCCTATCAAAGGTGGCATGGTGGCTCGGCAGTTAGCACTGCTGCCTCAAAGCACGAGGGACCTGGGTTCGATTCCAGCCTCAATGATTCCAGTCCTCCCTGTATCTGCGTGGATTTCTGCTGGGTGCTCTGGTTTCCTCCCACACTCCAAAGATGCGTAAGTTAGGTGAATTGTCCGTGCTAAATTACCCATAGTGTTCAGGGATGTGTTAGTTAGGTGTGTTGGCCATGGGAAATGCAGGGGGATGGGTCTGGGTGAGATGCTGTTTGGTGGGTTGATGTGGACTTGTTGGGCCAAATGGCCTGTTTCCACACTGTGGGGATTCTATATACAAAACCAATTTGAATTGCTCCAGTTCATACAATGAATTTGAAAGTTACTAGCACAGATAGGGAGCTCCTTGGGGAACCTTTAGATATCATCCTGACCTTTATCATTTGCTGAGATCAATGGAGCAAGAACAGAATTCTGCCATTAATGGGGACTTGAACATTCTAGCCATCATATGACAATTTAACCTCGTAATTTGGTAAATGCTTAGCACACTGTTTGCTGTGTGCAGTTGACAGGGTGGCAAATTTCATGTGGTGTCCTCTACCAGTAGGTGACAGTGATAAAGGGCACTGAGCAAAGGAGTGGAGCAGTTTGCTAGAACCTCCACGTCCAGTGGATGAGGTATTGAATGTCAACCAGCTGGACCTCAGACAATATGAGTTCCCTGATTGGATCAAATTAACAGCCCCAACCAGGGAACTTTGGCTGAGAGATAAAAAGGGCAGTGTCAGAGATTCTGCCACTCTGATACCTGAGTCTGAAGAGACAGTACCAAAGTCAATGGCTGTTCATTTGTCAATAAAGAGAGACTTGGCGATGGGATATTGGCCTCTGTGGAGTTACTTCAGTGGCAATGAGAGTAAAGCAGTTCCTGAAGAAACTTGCTTGCAACAGTCGTCCTTGAGTTAGTGTAATAATTTCATAGAATCCCTACAGTGTGGAAACACGCCTTTCGGCCCAACAAGTCCACACCAACCCTCAGAGCATCCCACCCAGCCCCATCCCTCTATAACTCACCTAATCTACACATCCCTGAACACTATGGGCAATTTAGGTTGGCAAACCCACCTAGCCTGCACATCTTTGGACTGTGAGGGAAACCAGAGCACCCGGAGGAAACGCACGCAGACACGGGGAGAATGTGCTAACTCCACACAGACAGTCGCCAGAGCCTGGAATCAAACTCGAGTTTCTGGCACTGTGAGGCAGCAGTGCTAACCACCGAACCACCGTGCTGCCCCAATTTCTTACGTTATGCTTGAATCATTTGATCCTGCTGTCAAGAACTGGGTCTGGGGTGTGGAAAAAATGTGTTATTTTCTCCAGGCAAATGACATTGTGACAGATGAAAAGCAATGTGTTATTTTCCTGATAGTCTGTGGAGCCACAGCTTTTTCTTTATTAGAAACTTAACATTCCCTGAGACACCAGATACTAAAATCTTTCAAGAGTTGAAGGATTTAGTTAAGGAATGCTATGACCCCAAGCCTCCTTAATTCTATGATGCTATCATTTTTACTCAGCAATTCGAGAACCAGGGGAATCCCTATTTTGACTAGGTTAAGTCTGTGCCTTTGGTTTAACCTGTCATGAGATGCTTAGAGACAGTCCGGTATGTGGGATTAATGATGAAGCTATGCAAAAA